TCTCCTCCTTACACCATTTTCTCCACAATCTCCATCGCATTCAACGAGCAGGAAGACGAGTTCCCCGGCATAAAAGCCATTTGGGTGGCCCGTCGAGCCCGTCGGACACGAGCCAAGGAACTCTCTGCTCCACCTCCCTCGACGCTTCAGGCCGCTGCAGGCCAGCTCATGGAGGCAGAAACTTCAAGCCGGCGCGTCGTTCAACAACTTGCCACTCCAAACCAGCTCCCCGAGGAGTGGCGAGTTGCTCCAGGCGGGCACGCGGGGGACCACGGCGGCACATGCATCATGGCTGCCGTGGACGATGCCGTGTCGCACCACACCTTCTGTGCATGCGACCGGTTTCGTCATGTTAGTTCAAATAGTGATTGAATTGTATGCATGCAACGTTGGATGGCCGGCTTTCACATCAATGTTCGCGGACTGATCACCTATCTGACGGACAGATGTCTAAGCAACTTTGCGGATTAGCGTTGGAGATGCTCTAATTGACATACGTTCGACCTGTGATCCATAAGTTTATCACAATGGCTTAAGCACACATTTCCTCGGATAATTGTGCTCTATACACAAAGGACAAAAGGTGCGACATAGGAGTATATCTTTTGAATAACCCAGCTACACATCTTGACACTTTACAACGCACATCTGATCATACCAATCGTTGCTAGCACCATATTCCAAGCGTGCACCCACTGCTTCACGTGAAAACCCGTACGTTACAGTAAATAAAAGCAGAACACACATGAAAAATACATACAGCAGTAAAAAGAACCTGGATACATACGACGCCAAAAGCTCAGATTTTGTCGCCGCATTTCACCGACAAAACCCTCTCGGAAACGAACAGAGAGAAGAGTTCAAAACTGCTGATCAGACCGGATCGAGAAAACAGCTGTAGTTTTTCTGTCCGTTGCATCAGTTCCCAGTTCGCTCGCAACTCCTCGCATCGCATGCACGCGCGCCCCTGCGCTTCTCGCGTTTCACGGGCAACTCCCCTCCGCCCCGTCGTCGTCTTCTTCTCCAACCTCTCGCCCGCCTTATCACCACCTCGCTCTCTTTTCCCTTTTGTATGCGCTCTCACCAACTGCGCTGGACTCGACTGAGATCCATATATAGCCCGGCAACCACCGCTGCCCCTCTCCTACAGCCGAGGGGTGCCGTGCCGTGCCGCGAGGAGAGAGAGGAAGGTAGGAAGGGTTGGTGGTTGCGGATACCGGGAGGCCGCCGGGCATTGGGCTTGGAATTCTCGGTCCTTTCGCCAGGACAGCAGGACCAAGGAGGCGAGAGGAGAGGACGACGGGTACAGTGAGAGGGCGCTGCCGGGGTGTCCCCTTCTCCTGCAGCCACTCCCTCCTTCTTCTGGAGAGAGGAGATGGGCGAGACGGCCATGGGCGGGTACGGGCTGGACAAGCCGCCGCGCTGCAGCATCAGCTTCGACACGCCGTGCGGCGCCCTGCTGCGCGAGCTCGAGGTGCGTCCCTCCCCCACAAACCAAATGCGGTCTCTGTCTGCGGCATCCGTTGCTCGATTTACTGCTTGTTCTCTGCTTTTTCATGCGGATTTGGGAGGTTTGGAAGAAGCCGGTTTCTTGATTTACTCGCTCGTCCCAATCATGTTGCCAGTTTTGTGATAGTTATAAGGAGCAGTGAAATTTTGTACTGGTATATTGCTGGTTGCAGATTTTGAGCCGTCTGGATTTGATTGATGCATTTAATTTGCCCGCGTTTTTTCAAAGATAAAGACGAGGACGTTGTTTCCCCAGGATTGTTCATAAAAAGTCCAATTGTTTTTCTGTTTTCTTCAGTCGCAAGCTTCTGGTATTCTCTCCCATAAAAGGTTGCGATTTTTAAAAGATATGTAGTGAGATTTTCAGAACAGCAGTGGGAATCTGTTGCTTCCGTTTATAGTTTCCTTTCAGCTTTAGGTGAAACTTTTCATTTACCGTCGGGTTTTCTGAATCTTGAGAGGTGAGGGAGACAGAGAGATCTACTTTTCCTTCCCACTTGAACTGTTTGAGGTGAAAGGGGCTTAAAAATAGCACTGCTTGAGTCCCAATGATTGAAGCCACTGTCTGCTGTAGCACCAGAAAGCAGAATAATTTTATGCTTGCTGCCTGCTGGTACAAATCTTATGTTATCTATCACTCGATATTCCTACAAGCATAACAGCAATAAGCATGCTTAGGTTGAAAATCGTAAATGGGGAGATTTTTTTTACAACTATTATGGACTTCCTATGCAACCCTCTGATGTTAAAAGAAAAGTAAAATAATGCTGTGTTCCCAATTTATTAGGAGGCAGTATACGAAAAAAGGAAATCGAATAGGCCTGGAAGGTTAAAGGTCAAGCAATCAGGTTGCTTGTTCAACATCCAACAGAAGTCCTGCCAGAGTGCCAGTAGGGTCTTTTGGTTGCTTGTGGTGTTCTGTTCCATTCACTAAAACGTGGGGTGTAACACCAGATAAAATTTTGTTTATTTTGATTTTAATGATGTGGACGTTATTTGATTATCATAGATGCTATTAGGTACTGGCAGACACTTACTTTCTTATAAATATTACACACTCAGATTCTATTTTTGCATTGTTTCTGTTCCTCATGTTTGATTACCTGACACATGGCTTCTTTTTTAGCAAATATGGACGGAGATCGGGGAGCAGGAACAAGATAAAGATCGGATGTTCCAAGAACTCGAGGCGGAGTGTATGCGTGTGTATCGTCGGAAGGTCGACAGTGCTAATGCTGATAGAAGCCAGCTCCGCCAGTCAGTGATGGCCAAAGAAGCAGAGCTTAAAGCTTTAGTGGCTTCGATAGGTGAAAATACTACACAATTTAAGGTATATGCATATCCTGTTGTAATCTCTAATTTTTTCTCTTGCGCAAGGCCTCTAACCAATGGACCTTCTTGAATATGAACTCGTTTGTCATGTTATTCTAAGTGCTGATTTGTTTACAAAGACTTAGATATTGGTAGTTCATTGTGTACAAGAAGTGATGAAATCATTGTTGATGTCATGCTGCACCTTGTGCAGAATATATCGTATCCGGCAGTTGGCTGTCATTTTTAAGCTATTGATGATAAGATGTGACATTAACAACTAAGTCAGCATGTTGGTTTCTGGCCATATGATGGATGGAGATGGGCAATATTAGAAGAAAAGGAAAGGCAGTATAGAGATTGGTTATATTCTGTAATTCTGTACAAGGGTTAACCATCTATTTAGTCAAAGACCTAATGAGTTCGATGATTTCTTATTATTCAAGGCTACTTGGATTACTCATCTAGAATCACCATTTCCATGCAAGTCGACCTATGCAACACATGACGTGTTTGCCTAGTGATAGTACAATGTGCTTTCATGTAAATTCCTTCCGGTCACACTGGCAACTACCTACACAAAGTGATTGCTCTTGAAATGTTTAAGATACATTACTGAAGTGCTCCAAACAACGATGAAATACTATGATCTTGTGTATCATAAATATTATCTGTTTGTAATCATCAAGATTCATGTTTAGTGCTGCTGGAACTAAAACTCTTGCAGCTGACATCTTGTACAAGATGAAGAAATTGGTATAAGCCGCTGTTTAGTAATATGAATTCTCATTTTCAGGTGAATGAAAAGCATGCATCGTTGAAAGAACAACTTGCTGCAGTGACGCCTCTCTTGGATGATCTCAGGGCCATGAAAGAAGAAAGAATCAAACAGTTCTCAAATGTGCAATCGCAAATCGAGACGATAAATGCACAAATTTCTGATCACAATTGTCAGCATGATGATGGTTCGTCCAAACGTCTGACCAATGATCATGACTTGTCAACCAGAAGACTTGCTGATCTTCAAATGCAGCTACGCAATTTACAAAAAGAAAAGGTAATAATGACCTTGACTAAAATACTACTTATTTGTATATGCCGCTTCAATCCAGTCATCAGAATCAGATAGGTTTGACCGTTTGCGTAGAACCATCATAACCGATGTACGCTTCTCTACTGCTTCAACTAGAAACATTTGTTGCCAACACACTAATAGCAATAAGAATTATACAGTTGAAATGATAACTCATGCTATTTTTGTTAAATTCTTTTCTTGGCTGTGTTATATTAAATATTTTTTCCCTTTTCGTTCAGTCTGATCGCCTTCAGAAAGTATTTGTATATGTGGATGAAGTCCACTGCCTATGCGCTGTGCTTGGGATGGATTTTGCAAAGACAGTTAAGGATGTGCATCCAAGTTTGCATGGAACCAACTCAGATAATTCGACGAATATCAGTGATAGCACCCTTGAAGGTCTTACTCAGACTATCCTGAAGCTCAAAGCAGAAAAGAGGACCAGAGTCTCGAAGGTGATTCCTCTTAGTGAAACTATGGCAGCGATTAGTTTTTGTCTCATCGCCTCTCTGACTACTTGTATTGTGTTGATGTGTTCAGTTGCAAGAAATTGTGGGGAAACTCCACAAGTTATGGAATCTGATGGAGTCAACAGAACAAGAGAGGAGACATTTCAGTGAAGTAGCCGCTGTTCTTGGATCTTCCGAGGAAGAGATCACTTCTCCCAGTGTCCTGTCATTAGAGACAATTCAGGAGGTTTGCCAACTTTCTATCAAGTTATTCACTTTTTTGTAACCTGCAATTCAAACTTATAGTTTTATGCTTTGGTTCTTCAGACAGAACAGGAAGTCGAAAGGCTAACTAAGCAAAAAGCGAGTAGAATGAAGGAGCTTGTTCTTAAGAGAAGGGTAGAGCTAGAAAATATCTGCAGAAATGCACATATGGAGCCTGATACAAGCACAGCACCAGAGAAGATCGTTGCTCTAATCGATTCTGGTATTTATCCCACTGATCCCTTTTCTCTTGCGCATACGGTCTGTAAAATGCCCCTGCTGAATATCTTGAACGATCCTAGAACCTTCTCACTTGCAGGTCTAGTGGATCCTTGCGAACTTCTCTCCAACATCGAAGCGCAAATTGCAAAAGCAAATGAGGAATCTTATACGAGGAAAGATATCATGGAGAGAGTAGACAAATGGCTATCGGCCTGTGATGAAGAGACTTGGCTTGAGGAATACAATCAGGTATGCTTTTATTCAATATATTCAGATACAAGTTTGGCTGACATCATACAGCGCAGCTCTGGTATGATTTAGTTAACGTCCTCCTTAATGTTTGCGTATGTCCTACTGCAGGATGATAACAGGTACAGTGCCGGCAGGGGTGCCCATTTGAATCTCAAGCGTGCAGAGAAAGCGAGGGTCCTCGTTCAAAAGATTCCAAGTGAGTCTCCCTTTCTTCAGTTGAATTGCACTGTAGTGATTTCCATATAATGTTTTTGAAGCAACTGAGCTCCATGATTCATAAGCACAATCTACCTCCTAGTTTTTTCAAAAAGATCCACGTCGCATTTGATATGTTATATGATCGGAAGCTACATCTATTCTGCAGCTATGATTGACAACTTGATAGACAAGACATTTGCCTGGGAGGATGAAAGCAATACACCATTTCTATATGACGGGGTAAGTCACCGAGCTAGCTCACCATGATTATCAGAAATCAAGCACACTAAATCTGACGCATTTGAATTTGCATCTGAAGGTTCGTCTGGTCGCCATTTTGGAAGAGCAGAAACTCAGAAGAGTACAGAAGGAGGAAGATAAGAAACGATACCGGGTATAAATTTCACGGCCTGTACTCTCTCTTGTAGTATAGAATTACAACAAAAGTCATCATTCTTGTTCATATTCTTACCACAGGACCAGAAGAAGCTGCAGAATCTATTGCTTAAAGAGAAGGAGCTGATCTTTGGGTCCAAGTCTGTTCCAAGGAAAACAAGCAGTTTTAACAGGAGGACGAGCGGGCATCATCCAAATGGAAACGGGGCTGGTTTCATGACTCCGATGCCCCGCCGGGTGTCGGCGGGCAGTGCCACTCCTGAGCTTTTGACACCGCGCTCGTACTCTGGCCGGTACAACAATTACTTCAAGGAGAACAGGAGGATGACGGCGGCACCACTCAACTTCTCTACGGCTTCCAAGGATGACAGCATGTCATCCTTCGCCTCCATTAGCGGCTCCGAGCCTGGTTCTCCATTGGTTTTGCACTGAGTATGATATCGCCCAACATTTTTGTTACAAGTGATTTCCAGGATCTGTTGCATGAACTTGTGCTGATCTTGGTCTGTAAACATGACATTTCTGATCAGGGAAGAAGACTTTCTTGGCGGGGAGGGTTGCGGTGAAGGCTACCGTCAAGATTGGGCAATTGTGTGCTAGCCATTGACCATGCTAATGTGTGACCAAGATTGGGACAGGATTTAGATAGGGTTGCTTGTAGATACATGACCTAGCACTTTTGTGGTGGTGTTTTAATTCCAGCTGCGAGTTTGATCGGTCTGTGGTTAGGGAACATGAGAAAGGTGTCAATGTATTTGTTTTGTGCTAATTGTTTTCTCTTTATAGTATTTCTAGTTGTGTATCATTGTTTTGGATGTGAAAGAAGAGATGGTCCATTTTTTCCCATATATCACATAAAGGTGTTGTATCCTGTATTCAGCCTACATTACAGGTTGAACCTGATGTATTCCACTTTATCTTTTGGAGCATGTATTATTGCCTCTAGGAATTAAACATCATCATTCAGACAGGCGCTTGCAGTGGCACGTCCAGCTGCTGAAAATATGATGTTGCAACATATGAAAACATGAATGCTATTCATGAAATTGTCTGGCCAACTGGCAAATGGTATGTAAACCTAAGGAACAAGGGGGACTGGGAGTACTCAATCTCCAAACATAGAACATTGCTCTGATTCTGAAGCAGCTACACAAGTTTTACTCACATGCTGATATACCGTGGGTTAACCTAGTCTGGCAAGCACATTATTATAATGATATTGCACCACAATCATGTAACAACAAGGGATCATTCTGGTGGAGAGACTGTATGAAGCTACTCTATTTGACATTTATAACAAGCTCACCACATGCATTGCCAGAAATGGTGATACCATTCTACTCTGGAAAGACAAATGGAGTGGCCAACCTATAATGGATAGATCCCCTGAGCTACACTCATTTGCAGATGATGATAACATCTCAATGCACAAGGCAAAAATATCAGACAATTACTATTCCATGTTTCAGCTACCTCGATCAAATGTTGCACATCAACAGTTCATACAAGTCAGCAACTCACTGGAACAAATCAGGAACAATCAGGACATGGACATATGTAAGTTCATATGGGGTGATTATGGATATAGCACCAAAAAAGTATACAAGGCAGTAATGAGTCCATCAAACCCCACCCCTCCACCATTTACCTGGATATGGAAATCATGCTGCCTACCAAGACACAAATTTTTCTGCTGGCTCATGCTTCATGACAGGGTCAATACCTGTGATCTATTAACCAGAAAAAACATGCAACTGGATTACACTCAGTGCTCACTATGCGAGGATTATACTCCCTCCGTCCCAAAATAAGTGGCTAGACTTTGTACTAAGAGACTGTTTGGATTCTGTTAGCCCTGTCAACCGCGGGCAGTCCAATTTATTGGCGACCGATTTCGCCGCCCGCATCTAGCCAAAACATTGGCGTGAAACTGAACTAGCAAAGCTAGGAAGGGCTGGACGCACCAATTATTTGGTGGCCATCCAAACTCCCTGGACGCACCAATTATTTAGTGGCCATCCAAACGCCCGCGCCGGACATGTCAACGCCAACTTTTTGGCAGGGTGTCTCAAGGTACCGATCCAAACAGCCTCTAAGTCTAATCACTTATTTTGGGGAGCAATTTGATAAAATGACACATTTTTTCTCGTACTTTGACTCAATAGCACACCTTTCTTTTTATTGGATTAAATAACACACCTTTGATTCATGGATAGATAAAATGGCACAAACTAACTTTTTAGCTCAATTTTTAGGTCTGGGCCCGCACGTAATATTTTGTAGGACGATTTTGCCCTTCGGTCGGTTTGACCTGTTTACTGGTTTGATTGAATCTGGTCGCCTTCGATCTGTTTCATCGAAACAGAGACAGACCACGCAGCGAGACACAATAGCGCCGCCGCCTCGCTCTCTAGCAACCCTATTTTGGGGCGGAGGGAGTAATATGGAGGACCGTACACACTTATTCTTTGCTCATTCAGTCAAAGCTTCTGGTGGAGCATTGGGATTGAATGGAACACAGATGAAAATATTCACAATATGATCACTGATGCTAAACACAAGATACAACCTTGCATTTTTCATGGAGATATTAATTACTGGGTGCTGGAGCATATGGCGTCAAAGAAATGAAAAAATCTTCAAAGGAATTCAATGTTCAATAAACCACTGCAAGGAAGAATTCATTGACACCTTCCACTCTACAATGATGAGGGCTAAGCTCACCATCAAAGAAGGAATGAGATCATGGATAGATAGTGTATAAGTAGACTCATGTAATAATTACTAACACCCACTGACCCTGTGCAACCCCTCTATTGCACTTGTAACTGGACACTTTGGTTATACTTTAATGAAAATGACATGCAGTAGGGATTTTCCCTACTGTTTTCTGGTCAAAAAAACAATTTATGTTTCTCACCGAGTACTTATAAAATTCCAGAACGGATTTCATATGTTTCCAGCAGCTAGATACGTCGCTGCCAGTGCCTGTCTGAATGCCGGCTTAAAACAACTTACACACGTCTGATTTTACAGGTCTACAGAAAAAGGAAAGCTGAAGGAAGAATGTATCAGCGAGTCAAAAGTTTCTCACGAGTCACAACAAGATTCACCAGAAGATCTGCCGGTTTCGAGAAACCTGTCTTCATCCAAAATCTTCGAGGAAGTGGTAACTCGAACAAAATGACTGAAAATTTAGAACAAAATGCTCAGGATTAACCAAAGGAATTTTGTACAGTTTGCTAACAAGATCTGTTGTTTGTTGCATTACACCAGCTAATCTACTATGGCTGTTTTTGTTGACGCTTCTCTCACTACAACTGTCAAATAGACAGAGGCTGGATTGGCAACCTTGATTTGGTCTACTCCCTACAAGGCATGCTAGTTCGTGTACAAACAAACACATAGGAGGATCGAGATCTGGATCCTCTCGATCCTCCTGCCCATCACATATGCATGCAGAGCAACTGCAATATAACCTGCAAAATAACAGCCAAACAAAGTAAATAAACTGGTATGGTCCAGTGTACCAAATAAAGAAATAGACACACAAAATAATAGGTTTGGCACAAATCTGTTGAACAGAAATTTTAGTAAGCTTGTGAAAGTCTCATAGTTTAGCCTGTTTTTTAGTTCACATCTTCCTATCCAGACAAGAAATTAGATGGACAAAACAAAAGCACACTTTTCTGTCTTCCTTTTCTGAAGCTAAGGTGCAAAGACACTTTCAGTTTGCAGAAGGTGCATAATTTAGGCTTGCACTGAGATTGGAAAAGTAGTAACACTTGATCACACTCAAATAACCGTATGTCACAAGCACACAGAACAAACCAGTTCAGGATTCCAACTAAAAAAATTCAGGCGTGCTTTTGTTTCAAATATGTACTGAACCCATAACATCCAGTTGAATACACAAGACTCAGGGTAGGCAGAACATATCCTCATATATGATCATGCCAAGATTTTGAGATGGTCTCTCCTGTAAGGAGACAAAGAAGATGAACAGGTTACCGCACTGATTGACATTTATATACCCCAGATGTCTACCCTACCCAACAATGGTACCAAGTCCAGAAAAAACTCCAACATTCAGCAAGTCTCATTTATGTATAGGGACACGGAGGACAGATATTTAACAATCTAACATGTAATTCTGCACAACATTCCCACCCCGCAGCTACAGCTCACAGCGGCCAGTCAGGACAATATCCTGGCGTGGACAGCGTCTGGAGTGTACTCGGTGGCTTCTGCCTACCGTTCAGTTCAGACGCTCTACCCTTCTTTTTCTCCACGGAAGTTTTGGAGGGGGCAGGCTGAACCAATATGCCGTTTCTTCGCCTGGCTGATGGCCCACATAAGTTTTCAGGACAACCTTGTTGTCCACGGACGACCCAATGACTCCATTTGTTGTGGGTTTTCAGGACAACCTTGTTATCCGCGGATGACCCAATGACTCCATTTGTCGTGAGTTTTCAGGACAACCTTGTTATCCACTTATGACCCAATGACTCCATTTGTTGTGGGTAGTATGGTTTGGACAAAATAATATGCCATACTTGAACATGGATGCCAAAAATAAATTCCTTTGTAACCAACTACCAGCTGGTAATTAAGTAAATTTACAATCAAACAATTTTTTGGCAGCATATTTTGCACAAGTTCAATTTGATTGGTACTGTATATTTTATGTTGGAACCATCGGACATTTATTTTTATCAAGAAGAATTGAATATTATATTTTAAAGATAGGTTTTTCACTTCCGGATGGCCCAATTACTCCACTTGTAGTGGGTAGTACGTCAAAGGTTTGGAAAAAATTATGCCCATACTTCAACATGGATGGCAAAAGTAAATTCCTTTGTGCCCAACTACCAGCTGGTAATTAATTAAATTTAGAATCAAATAATTTTTTTGGCAGCATATTTTGCACAAGTTCAATTTGATTGGTACTATATAATTTATGTTGGAACAATCAGACATTTATATTTACTGAGAAGAACTGAACATTAGATTTTAAAGATGGGTTTTTCACTTTCTTATCAAGGTGCCGTAGTTACGCTTGCGTGTCTATCCGTGGTTCTCAGTTAGTACTCCCTCCGTCCGGAAATACTTGTCCTCGAAATGGTTGTATCTAGACTTATTTTAGTTATAAATACATCCATTTTATCCATTTCGAGGACAAGTATTTCCGGACGGAGGGAGTAAGTCCTTAACTCAAGATTGCTCTACGGATATGTTTCTTGAATGGTTTAGTTCAGGATATGGAGGGGTCATGGTGGTTGCCAGGCTAGGCGGATCGAGTTTGATTGTATCAAAGCAAACTCTCTGCATGGGCCACCTGTGAGTGTTGCTCTTGAAGGGCAACGACACCACGTATGTGCTGATGCGTGATCCTAGACATCTCCCAGTTAGCAGTATGCTGCATCTGCCAGTTAGTGGTATGTTGCCAGTGACATCAACCCTTGGAAGGGGACAAGGGGTAATACACACAAGGCACTAATCAAATTTGGGCTAGGGCGTTATATTTGCAGGAGTAAAGATGAGTAACGAAGAATCTAATACGTCCTCAAAACATACACTTCATGCTGACATCCAATTCGAATTAGGTTCAGTTGTAATACTAAATCAAGATTTAAAGCAATTGGTAGTTCCAAATTGTTTACACGTCAGTACGCACAAACATTCAATCTCCAATCTCTCTCCCACAAGACGTGCTTCTTAAAACAACATTTTTCCATAAAGGGATAATATATTTAACATCAAGCTTCTATCAGCACACATCTCACCGGGGCATATTCATATTATGCTGCAATCAACGTCATGAACTCGCACAAACAATGAAAATTAACACCAGATCTCATAGCTGACGAATTAAGAGGCCCAAGAACACTACACTTTTTAGGACATCTCCCCCTCAGCCCCTCTTGTAGATCACGATCTTAAACTACCAGGGAGGTGGTGTCGCCCTTGTAACTCCTACTCCGCACCAATTGGTACAGGAGTACTGCAATGAGACTAAGCATTCCTGTACCAATTCGCACCCAAGGAACCTAAGAATGGAGTAACCAATACACTGAGAGTAGGAGAAGGAATACCTAAAGCTTTGGTTTCAGAAGTCAAAGCTTTTCAGATAGGTGGGATCCTTCTTGGCCCTCTCCTGGAACTTGCGGAACCAGCGGTCCAGGATATCCGTGGGCACCACCAGCTTGCCGCCGTCGGCGGCGCAGAAGGACTGCATGAAATTGAAGAGGTTCTCGCCGACGCGGAGCGCGACGCGCTCGGCGCGCTGCTCGTCGGGGGGCGAGGGCAGCGCGGCGGCGTCCTCCACGGCGACGCCCAGCTTGGCGGGCCCGGCGGGGGGCTCCGGCTCGTCCCCGGCCTCCGGGAGCTGGAGGGCAGCGGAGGGGCGCGCGGGGCCGAGCGCGCCGAGGAAGGCGAAGGGGCGGTTGGCGGCCGCCTGGTAGTAGACGGCGACGGCCTTGCCCGGGGGCAGCGCGGCCGCGGCGGGCGGGAGCAGGAAGACGACGGCGGAGCGGGGCGCGGAGGGGAGGGACAGCGTGGAGAGGTCGAGGAGCCAGGAGGCCGGCGCGACCTGCGCGAAGGCGGTGGCGTCCAGCGGGAAGGTGTGGTCCGGGAACACGACGCCGAACATGGCGGGCGGGCGGCGGGGTTTGGGCTGGTGAGATTGACGCCGCTAGGGCTGTGGCATGGGGGGCGCCTCCGTCCGGCGAGGCTCGATCGGGGTATAGATCGGAGGCTGGAGGCCTCAAATGGAAGGAGGTGATGGCGATGTTCGACTCTGTTATGGAAAGGGGAGGAGGGTTCTAGAAGGCCGTAGAGCGTGCTCGTCAGCTCGTCCGAGCCGGATTTTGCTTTTTTTTTTCTCTCGGAGAAAGTCATCATGGAGCCAAGGGAAGGACCATACGCCGAACGTGCCACCTCCGTGGATCTTTCTGACGGTTTTGATAGGTTGCATCATTTTAGGGTCATTGTGAGGTGGACATGAATGAGTAAAATACTGCCAAAATTCATGTTTTGTGCATAGTTTGATAGGATGTATATAGACTGACTGCAGAGTGACATGTTGTTGGGCTGGTTTGATGAACTAGGCGGCACTTGGTTGCATACAATGACCAGATTAAGAGTTAATAGATACACATGATACACAGAGTTACAATAAAGTAGATAACTATGCATCTATTCCTTTATGGAGTCGAAACGAAAAGCGTACAACATGAAAGCTCTTTCGAACAACATGATAAAGCTAGTGATTAACTAAAACTTCAAACGTTGTGTGTGATGGATATGCCAAATTTCATATAAACCACAACATAAGGGTCTCTTTGATTCGCAGGATTTTCAAAACGCGGGAATAGAGAAAACATGGGATTAGAGTTGCATGTTATCTTGAATCCTACATGATTGTATGAGTGTTTGATTGTGCATAGGAAAAAGGTAAGATTCTTTCAAAGAGGTTTGAGTGGATGGAAAATTTTCTATGAAATCTAGTGCAAATGAATCCTATGAAAAAATTCCTATGGTTTACAATCCTACAAATCAAACAACCCACATAGGGAAAGTTCCTAAGGATTAGAATCCTCCAGAATCACTAGTAGAAAAAGGGTCAAATGTTCAGCTCATTAGTGCCGGTTTGAATTTAAGCCGGCACTAATGTGCCCATTAGTGCCGGTTTCAACGGCTAGCCGGGCCGCTCTCATTAGTACCAGTTCTTGCCGAACTTTTAGCACCGGTTCGTGCCACGAACCGGTACTAATGAGAGTGGTGGCAGGATGTTGTCAGTCTAGGGCCCCACCATCACCTTTAGTACCGGTTCAGGCCACGAACCGGTATTAAAGGTCGCCCTATATAAACCCTTCATCCACCCGAGCTCGCTCCTTCCCCCTTTCCCCTCTCCTCTGTTCTTCCCTTCCTCTCGAGCTCATCACAAAATTTATCCAAATTTTGTCAAGATTTGAAGACCCCCCATCCATTCAAATGATCACAAAGGTTAGCAACTTTGTCCTTTCATCTCTCATTGCTAGATTAGCTCTTGCAATGGTTTATATAGTGATTAATTTGTGGATTTTAGTAATTTGGGAGGAATTATATGTGGTAGTATTTGATTTATATGCAATTTGAGGTCAAAATAACACTTAGTTTGCATATGTAGGTGTGGTTTACTTAGTGCCTTCTAAATCTCCGTCGTAACCACCGTCGATCGCCCGCACCGTGGCACCACCTTCTGGTGAGCCTATTGTTCTTATCTTTTTTATATAAAAAATTTATGTTTGTGTGATTTAGATATATAGTTACTTGTATAATTATCTTACCCGTACGTTGTTTGTTATTCATAGTGCCATGGTTTTGATATCCGCCCCCTTCGGCCCTCGTCCGGGTTATGATTCGGATGTGGTATATTTTCTTTTATAACTATTTTGTTGCATTTCGTGTTTATGACAAATTATGCCCATCAAATTGACATAGTTTTTTTTATCTAGGAGGTATGTGAACCGGAAATTCCAACCGACCCTATTGTCGAGAGGTTAAATTTAGTTGAAAGAGAAAACAAGTATTTGAAAGAAAAATTGAAAAGAATTGAGGGGGAGAAGATGGAATTGGAATTGCATGTTACCAATGTCGTCGATGATCACAAGATCAAGATGGAGAAAATGCGCTTGAAGATTAGAAAGATTAGAAAATATGCCATTCATAGTGAGGCTTGATATCATTATGATGTTGGATCAATTGTTACCTTAGTTGCGATCTTGATCGCATTTGTTGTTGCATTTAAATTCTTTAGCTAGAGAGCTATTTATATGTTGCATTTAAGTGTTGTATGAACTTTATGTATGAACTTGTATTGATTTGGTCTTTTTGGTGTTGTGTAATAAAGATGAGCTGACAATGGATGTACGATGACCGATGCTCTCCCGAGTTCATTAATGGCGTGCAAACTTTTCTACTTGCGGCTGATGTCGGTGTCAAAACCGGCGGATCTCGGGTAGGGGGTCCCGAACTGTGCATCTAGGATCGGTGGTAACAGGAGGCGGGGGACACAATGTTTACCCAGGTTCGGGCCCTCTCTATGGAGGTAAAACCCTACGTCATGCTTGATTGATATTGATGAATATGAGTGTTACAAGAGTGGATCTACCACGAGATCGTAATGGCTAAACCCTAGAAGTCTAGCCTATGTGGGTATGGTAATGAGTATATCTGATGTCCTTTCCGGACTATCCCCTTCGGTTTATATATACACCGAAGGGATCTAGGGTTTACATGGAGTCGGTTACATAAGAAGGAATCTTCGGTCGCCAAGCTTACCTTCCACGCCAAGTAGAGTCCAATCCGGACACGGTGCAGTCTTCGGCCTTCATGTCTTCACAGCCCATCAGTCCGGTCCATAGATAAAAGGCCGGATGCCCGAGGACCCCTTAGTCTAGGACTCCCTTAGTAGCCCATGGACCAGGCTTCAATGACGAGGAGTCCGGCGCGCAGATTCGTCTTCGGCATTGCAAGGCGGGTTCCCTCCTTCCGAACTCCAGAATAGTCTTCGGACGAAGTAAGTATATCCGGACCTGTGTATATAATGGCAGAGAATATAATACCCCACGAGCCCAACTTGTTGATAACTGTTCATGACATCATATCATGCTTGCCTGGTTGCTATTTCCAACCGTCAGCTAGCGAGCCGCCCCACGCCTCGCGGTGCGGTTTTACTGGCACGTCTTATCGAGGCAGAGATCGTGTCCCTTTATTTACGGGATTTTCATTAACGCGGGCGTGGGTAACCCAACCGTCCCCTGGGTACAACTCCTTGGTAATAGGTAAGCTTAGAGACCCTGGGGGAGACGCCCAATACTTGGAGCCTTTATATAGAGACCCAGTCTCGTTTTCTTCCCTTGCACTTGCTTCTTCCTCAACCCCAGCCACCCCAAGTTCCAACCCTCGGGTTCCAATCGCCACCAGCCCTAGTCATGTCCGGATCCAACCATCAGGGCCGGTGGGTGGCTAATTCTGTCACAGAGGAGGATATTGCGAAGCTCCGCGCAACGAGGTATTTGACCTCGAAAATCTTTCATCGGCTCCCGACACAAGGATAAGTTATACCGACCCCCAGATCTGGCGAGAGGGTAGTATTTGTATCCCACTTCCTTCATGGGCTAGGGTTCGCACTTAACCCCTTCGTCCCGGGGCTCATGTTCTACTATGGACTAGATTTTCATGATCTGGCCCCAGACTCTATTCTCCTCATCTCAACATTTATCATCACGTGTGAGGCCTTACTCCGGACTCCTCCGCACTTTGGCTTGTGGCTCAAGACCTTTGGTGTGAGGCTGCAGGTGACAGAGGAGGAGCAGGCAGAGTGCAGCAACGTCATAATAGGCAGGCTAGCCGGCGCGGATTGGCCCGAAGGATATTTCGCCAAATCTCTCGACCTATGGCAGCAGGGGTGGTTTTATATAAACGAGCTGCGGAGCTCCAAGTGGGCGGCTACACCTGCGTTCCGACCCGGTCCTCCAATTCAGCTTGCTTCATGGGTCAATAAGGGATTGGACTGGGGATCCATCAATGAAGTGCAGACTCTGCAAAGCCGCGTCTGATGCCTTACCGAGAAGGGCATCGATCTTGTGAGCATCGTTCAAATAATGCTAGTCCGCCGGATCCTGCCGTGTCAGCGATGACCTCTTCGTATGTGGGAGTTTAACCCAAAAGGGCGGCGGACTTTACAACACTTCTTCGGCACTACGCATGAAGGAATGTGGAAATTATATTTCGAGGAACGAGAGCAATGGACGAACACCACCGAAGACGTTGGCCTTGACTGCAATCATCCGGACACTTCGGTAAGTACTCGATATCCGAGCACCTTCCCTTCAGGCATCCCTTAACAAGATACTGAACAATCCGTCCATGTACAGGAATGGATAAAGAAAGCGGTGTTAATCTGGTGTCCGGCGCCTCTTCCTGAAGGCCCTGTGACCGACCTGCTGACGAGAATGTTGATTCCAACACCGTACCAGGTGGCTGCATCCAGGGAAACTGAAATCCTTTTGCCCAAGGGCAAGAACGCAGAGGGAGCTCTCCAGGGCAAGAAGAGGGTCGCCTCCGAAGATCAGGAGGGGAAGCCTTCCAAGAGAGGAAAAACATCGGCTTGGGCAAGGCGAGCGGGGCTGCCGTAGAGTTTGACGACGAGGACGAACCTTGAGGCAAACCGTAAGCGAGGCTGGGGTACTTTAAACGCACCTCATTCTTTTCTTATGTAGTGAAGTAATCATCCGATATGTGTGTGTCCATGCAGGTTAACGCCTGGCGCTTCTCAATCGTCCTCCTCCTCGGGAGATCTTCTTCCAGAGATGATGGAGAGTGACACGCCTCCTCCGGCCCCATCGCCCAATAGGGGGGATGATATCGAGGTATCATCCCGAAGGGCTCCTCTCGAACACCAAGTAGTACAGGAAACGATGAAGGCGTTATCCGAAGGCAGTGCCTCTGTCACTCGGGGTTCCGGGATCAAGACTAGTGTCCCCAAACCGTCTGGTTTATAGCGGGAGACGATTCTGGAGGCAAGTAAGCGGGTTCCTTCCCAGGAATGCCATACTCCGGTGGCGGTTTCCGAAGACCCAGGAGCGCCGGAAATGCTGACGGGCT